GCGATCTCGGCTCACCGCAATCTCCGCCGCCTGGGTTCAGGCAATTCTCCTGCCTCAGCCTCCTGAGTAGCTGGGATTACAGGCACGCGCCACCATGCCCAGCTGATTTTTTCTATTTTTAGTAGAGACGGGGTTTCACCATGTTGACCAGGATGGTCTCGATCGCTTGACCTCGTGATCCACCAGCCTCGGCCTCCCAAAGTGCTGGGATTACAGGCTTGAGCCACCGCGCCCGGCCCTTAATTTTTGTATTTTTAGTAGAGACGGGGTTTCAGAATAATGACCAGGTTTGTCTTAAACTCAACCTCAGGTGATCCACCCACCTCGGCCTCCACAAAGTGCTAGTATTACTGAAGTGACCCTTCGGGCCCGGCCCTATAGGATTTTTCCAGAATATTCTCTTATTATAACTTTTTTCTTTTCCACAAACGCTGTTTCACAATTCCAAGGACACACGTCTGGTGCCTAAATACAAACCCTACTGAAAATCCAATGTCCATAAGATCAGGATAAATTACTTGGACCTACTTATTGTAAGCATAAATACAAAATGAAAATAAGATAATCAACTTAAAAAAGAAATTTACTCTTCTTCTTCTTAAAACATTTAATTTAGATATTTTTTGTACATAAATTCTTTCTCTGCTTTTTGTCTTTTATATATCTTTGAAATCTATTTCCACTCTAATTTTTATTTTTTTTATTTTTTATTTTATTTTATTTTTTTGAGACGGAGTTTCACTCTTGTTACCCAGGCTGGAGTGCAATGGTGTGATCGGCTCACTGCAACCTCCGCCTCCTGGGTTCAGGCAATTCTCCTGCCTCAGCCTCCCGAGTAGCTGGGATTACAGGCATATGCCACCATGCCCAGCTAATTTTCGGTATTTTTAGTAGAGACGGGGTTTCACCATGTTGACCAGGATGGTCTCGATCTCTTGACCTCATGATCCACCCGCCTCGGCCTCCCAAAGTGCTGGGATTACATGGGTGAGCCACTGCTCCCGGCTATCTGCATTCTCCTCTTCCTTAAGCCAATAGATTTAAAAAATGCAAAGAAGACACATTTGGTTTTTACCCACACATCTCTTCCAGTCACTATGCTGAGGAGAGTCAATGTGAGCACAGCTGAGAATAGTTTTCTGACAGAACAGCCACTTCTCAGCAAAAATGACACAAAAAAAGTATACATCTTTTTTGATTTGTTTTGTTTTTTGTTGTTCTGGAACAGAGTCTCACTCTGTCGCCCAGCCTGGAGTGCAGTGGCATGATCTCAGCTCACTGCAACCTCCCCCTCCTGGATTCAAGAGATTTTCCTGCCTCCACTTTTTGAGTAATTAGGATTACAGGCACCTGCCACCACAACTGGCTAATTTTTGTATTTTTAGTAGAGACGGGGTTTCACCATGTTGGCCAGGCCTGTCTGAAATTCCTGACCTCAGGTGATCCACCCGCCTTAGCCTCCCAAAGGGCTGGGATTAGAGGTGTGAATCACCCTGCCTGGCTAAAGTGTAACTCTTTAGCTGGGTGCGGTGGCACCTGTCTGCAATCACAGCACTTTAGGAGGCCGAGGTGGGTGAATCACAATATGAAGAAAACAAGACCATCTTGGTCAACATTTTGAAACTGATCTCAACTAAAAAATACAAAAAAATAGCTGAGTGTGGCGGCACATGCCTGTAGTCCCAGCTACTTGGGAGGCTGAGGCAGGAGAGTCAGTTGAACCCAGCGAGGTAGAGGTTGCAGTGACCCAAGATTGTGCCACTGCACTCCAGCTTAGCAACAGAGCGAGACTCCATCAAAAAAAAGTATAAGCCTTTTATGGAATATCAACATATTTTCAGTAAATTAAACATATGCATGAATAAAATTCTTGCAGTAAAATTAAAATTCATTTTGTTGATTCCTATTGAGCTCAAGTAATATTGGATAAAAAGCCAGCAAATAAAGAG